AACCCAGAGGGTCTCCAGCCGTCCCCCCTGGTCGCCAATATCGGCTTGCAGGGACGTGTAGCTTTCCTTAACATAGAGAGCTACATCCCTGCCCCTTTTCTCTACACGATCCCTCCTGTACAGGGTATAGCCATCTATACCCGTGGTCCAGTCATGGATGGAGTCCCACCAGGTCTCCGTTATCCCTATGACATCATAATTATTTGCATTGAGCAGGAGGATGAGTTCCTCCTGCTTATTCCCCAAGCTCCTGGCATTTGTGTACAGGCAGGCAAGTGCCCCCTGCGGGGCTCCTTCCTTGCCCACAGATTTTACCAGGGCTGGGGTAGGGGTGGGCTCCCTTAAGTGCCTTGAACTGCTGGCTTTGCAAGGATTGCTCAGCGGGCCAGCAGTGGCAGTAGTCCCCCCGTCCCCCAGCGGGCTTAGTTTAAAGCCCGGTGGAGCAGGTCAGCCAGTCTGGCTGAGAAGAGCCTCCTCCCTAGGGGAGAGAGATGGAAGCCATCTCTTCCCAGCAGCTCGCCGCCTCTCTCGCCAAAGAGCAGGCTGTGGTCATGAAAGCCAAAGCCTTCCCGACGACACCAGCACCGCAGTCTTTGGTTGACCACATGGATCCTCCTCTCCCTCCTCGGCCCATAGCCTGAGACTGGGAGGATCGACGAGAACACCACCTGTGCCCCCAGACCCTTTAGCCCCGCTCCCAAATCCCCGTAGCGCCTCATGACCTGGAAGGGAGCACTCCGAGCCGTCTCATTGGTGCCCACATGAATTAGGAGCATGGGATAGTGGTCTGTGGGTTTGAGGAGCTCTGGGATCCTCTCCGCAATGTCCCGGATGCAGGCCCCCAGGAAGCAGCAGACTTCAGCAGCAGCAGGAAAACCATCAAGCAAATGAAGAATGACAAGGCATCTGGAGCAGATGGAATCCCTGCCAAAATCTTCAAGAAAGGGGGAGAAGAGCTTACATTACAGCTCCATGCCTTCATCTTAAGGATCTGGAATGATGAGGAAACCCGATGACCTCAGGGATGCCATGCTCATGACAATCTTCAAAATAGGAGATAAGTCTGACTGTGGAAATTACAAGGAATTGCCTTGTTGTCCACCACAGAAAAAAATGCAAAATCCTGAACAATCTTCTTCTACTTGCTGAAGACCTCCTCCCAGAATCTCAGTGTTGGTAGGGCTTCAAGAAGCACAACCAACATGATCTTCACTTCTCACCAGCTGCAGGAAAATGGTGAGGGGGTTAAACCCCTCTACATGGCCTTATCTGACCTCATGAAATTCTTTGACTCTGTCACCTGAGAAGCGCTGGGAGCATCTTATGAGGTATGGATGCCCACTGAAATTCATCACTATTCTTCACCTGCTCCATGATGGTATGTGAGTGTTGGTTCTCACTAACTGATCTATCACAGATCCCACTAAAGTTAAGTTGGGAATTAAGCAAGGCTGTGTCATAGCTCCAATACTTTTTTCAATACTACTTACCACCAATAAGCTTCCAGTTGGAGTGGAGCTAAACTACCAAATGGATGAAAAGCCATTTAACCTTAGCCAACTCTGAGCCAAAACCAAGACTATCTCAACCTCAGTCACTGAGCTGCAGTATGCTGCTGATGCTCCAGTATAGAGGTGGCCAACCTGTGGCTCCAGAGCCACATGTGGCTCTTCAGAAGTTAATATGCATCTCCTTGAATCTTTACACAAGCACACGGTGACCACTTTAATGGACCTCCAGGCAATCATTGATCTTTATCAAGGCATACAAGAAAATGGAGTGGGTATGAGGGAGTATGAAGCCCACAAAACTAGCCCTTGAGGCAGTGACCAATGAGCACCTGTGGTCCTTTGAGTAAGACCAGGCTTGGGAAACCCAGGGGCAGTCTCCCTTTTAACATCAAAGTGTGGTGGGTAAGTAAAGGGTAGAGGACCCCAAAGGGAACCAGATGGGCAAGGGCTGAGCGCCAATCAGGGGGCATCATGAGATGGGCACTTGCTACAAGGAGACACCTCAAGTTGCTGGACAAGTACCATCAATGCTGCCTTCGGAAGATACTTCAAATCCAGCGGGAACACCAACACACCAACATTAGCATCCTCTCACAAGAAAACATGTTGAACATTGAGACAACGATCATTTACATCAACTCTGCTGGCTCCCCCACTGCTACCCACACTTCAGCTCTGGCAGGGGTCTAGTGGTTGCTCCAGTCCCAGCCTGGCCTGGTAGCAGTGGCAGTAGCTCCAACCCAGGCTCTGGCTCCAGGACTCAGTCAGAGGTACCACCACTGCAACAGCTGCTGTGTGGCTAGGCTGGGGCTAGAGCAATCACATGCTCCATGCCCCAGGCTGAAGCAGTTCTGAAGCCCTGCTAAAGCCAAAGAGCAGCAGCAAGTAAGCGAAGGCTGGGGGTCAGGAAGTGAGGATACAGAGGTTGCAGGGGGCCCAAGCAGGGGACCCAAGCAAGGGGCCAGGCACTGGGGGGAGGGGGAGGGGCCAGAGATTTCAGGCAAGCAAGTAGCAGGGTGGAAGTGGGGGCAGGTGCTGGGGTACACAGGCACTGGCAGGGAGGGAGAAGGGGGGCAGGCAGGCAGCAGGGGGATAAATGCTGGAGGGGACAGACAGCAGGGGATACAATATGGGGAGGCAAAGGAAAGAGGTCAGGCTGCTTGACTCCCCCACTGCCTGTCTCCCCACTTGTCCACCCATTGCTGCCCCCACTGTGTGCCCCTGTTCCCACCTCCCCCCTGCCATGGCTTTCCCTGCTACAGTGGTGCAGGGGATGAATTTAAGATAATTCTCCAATAATTAGATTCTATACATACAATAATTTTCTGTGTATAGAATCTAAATATTGGGAGGTCATCTTAAATTCAAAGTTATCTTGGATCCAGGTAACTACAGTGTGCTAGCCTCAAGGTACAGAATGAAACAAAATCAGACAGACCAGACAGATAAATCAGACAGATAAATACTACTACCCTTGCTTCCCACATTATTCCTCTAACTGGTCATTCCTTGACCCCTCATGTCTGTGGACTCACGTAGCGAGATTCTTAATGTAAACAGGGGCCATGGCCAGGCACTGTACACATATTTAACAAGCATGCAAGGCATCCTTCTCTCATTTTACACAAGGGATGCTAAAATTGCACACTGCAGACAGTAACAAATCACCTCACTTCTTCCTAGATATAAACACCACTGACCCCTAGACAGCAGGTTGTATCATTCTGATTGCACACACATTTTTCAAACCCACTGAAAGGAGAAAAAGAATGCATTCTTGCCAAAGAAAATGAAATCTCAATTACCTGTGTTTTCCAGAAGATACTTCAGTGAACACTCAATAGCGCTAAAGAATCCATCCAGGACCATTTCATCCAAATAATCAATGTATGCTTTCCAGGTGTCAGAAGTGGGGTCTGCAATGAATAGGCTCAGGTTTTCCTGAAAAGAAAGGATATGATCATCAAATATAGCTTGACTGAATTTCAGTCATGTTATAGGGGCCTGAAGGAGCACTGTTCAAATTGAAGAAACTTGCAGAAGTCTGAAAAGATAGTATACCCAGGTTCCCTCTAAAATTCACAGGGAGAGTTAGACCCCTGCTACACCGTAACATATATTACACAATTGACTTGTTAATTGTGCAATAAATTTAGACTGGCCACATGTGCAAAGTAATTATCACACGATTAAAATGACAGCCCAGCTATAAAAAGAGCCAACCAGCTATAAAGTTAGTGCTGATATTCCCTGGGCCCAGAGGTGGGGGGAGGTGGCAAGTGGCCAGAGCCAGGGGGGAAGGGGGTGGCAAACAGGCAGAGCCAGCAGCGCTCAGCAGCGGCAGAGTCGGCAGCGCCCGGCAACGCTAGCATGTGCCAGCCACGGCGGGGCTTACAGGGCACTGACTGCGGGGCCCCCCAAAGCACGGGGCCCAGGGCGGTCTCCTTGATTCGCTCCCCTAGGATAGCCCTGAGCCAATTTTTTCTCCTTCTTTGTTATAGTAACTACTTTGGGACATGAAGGGAATGCTGTGTACACAGTGTATCTGAACTTCAGCAAAGCTTTTGACAAGGTCCCGCATAACTTTCTCATAAACAAACTGACAAAACTACAAGATAGATAACTGGCTCAACAGCCACAAGCAAAAGATAATTATTAAAAGGTCCATGTCATAATGGCAGGAAATGTGATATGAGTGTGTGACAGAAGGGGAGCAACCTTGTGGAGGCCTGCTGACTGACCATGGACTACAAATCCCAGAGGCACTTGGAAGCAGGAAGGGGAAGTGGTGAGTAACTCTATAGAGCCCTGCTGCTGGACTGCAAATCCCAGAAAACTTTGGGGGCTGGAGGAAGAGGTGGTGACCTCTGAGCCCTGGCAGGCTACTGCCAGAAAAGCTGCTGTCTATGGTGCCTACTGGAGATGGACCCAAGTAGAGGGAAGCCTCTGTGCAGCACAGATGAGCCACAGACCAACTGCACATGATCCCCAACCAACAAACCTGCTCAGAGAAACTCTGGACTAAAGACTGGTTCTTGGGAACATCTTCAGAAGTGGGCATGGGACTCTATGTGCTGAATGTATGTACCCAAGTGGTACTGACCACTACCTGTTTTCTTGCCCTGTAAGTGTATGTTGTTATGCTTTGGATGCTTATGTACTTGTTTGCCCCTTCCCATTGATCTGTTGGCCTGTGACCCTAACCCCTAAGACACTTGATATAAAGTAAATCCCTCACTGGCTGTAGCGATTGTGCCTGACACTGCAGGGGTTTGTTACACTGCATTTTAAAAAGGATGTGGAGAAGTTAGAGAGGGTTCAAAGCAAGGCAAAAAAGATGATCAAGGGCTTGGAAGGCAAGCCATATGAGAAGAGGCTGGAGGAACTAGACATGTTCATCTTGCAGAAAAGGTGCTTAAAAGGGGGAATGACAGCAGTCTTCAAATACTTGAAGGGCTGCCATATAGAAGAGGGAAAACACCTTTTCTCTTTTGCTGCAGCGTGGAAGATTTTCTTCAAATTTCAGCAAGGTAAGTTTAGATTGTATATCCGGAGGAAACGTCTTTAGTTAGAAGAGGGAGGCAATGAAATAGACTGCCTAGGGAAGTAGTGGACTTTGAGCTGCTCAAATATTGATCTGTGGTAGTGCTAGCTTGAGTTTGGAGCAGTCATGCCTTAATGCTAAAATCCTCTGATTGCCTCCCACCTGCATATTTTTTATTTGCCACTAGTGGGAGCAGGGACCTAACTAGGAGCTACCATTACAGGCCTCCTGAGCAAGGACAGGAGGCCTGTAATGCTCTAGGAGGGCGGAGGGGGGCGGGGGGAGAATTTGAGCTGGGAGACAGAGAGTCAATGGGATGGCAATAGATAATGAAGTGCGAGGTGGAAAGGAAATTGGGGTGGGGGAGGGTGGTGAAATGAAGGAAGTCAGCCAATGAAGAATAAAAGAAAATGAAAGAATTTAAAAGAATTTAAAGAGAAAGAGAGAGGAAGTAAATTAAAGAAGGTCTCCTCTTTCATAAACTGTTTAGTTATTCTGATAAAGTCCAGGATCTTCTATCATTGTCACTTGGCAGAGTATGTATTTGGTAAATGTAAAAAAAATAAATGCCTAGTATCTTTTACAGAGACTTGAGTCCAGATGTTCAACAATGTTACCCCAGTATGAGACAATTAAATGAATGTTTAGGCACTTAAATAATCAGCCAGATATTCACTCGTGCTTAGTAGCTAGTGGGCATATTTACACGTGATGCTATGTCGACATAGCTAGTTGCTATGGCGCTGTAGCGTCCGTGGGTACAAACTGTGAGGTCAACACCACGCCACCATAGTGACGAGCTACCTAGCTATAGTGCATCGCTATGGCAATGTAGTTGCTAAAAATAACCATGTGCCACCATGACGACACTCCTAAAGCAAGTACTAAACAATGGCGCAGTTACAACTGTGCCATGGGAGAGGCATATGTAAACATGCCCAGTAACTCCTAAATGCCTACTTGTTTTGAAAATCAGCTCACTTATTTAGGTGGACTTAAGAGCTCTGTTTTTAATACTGAATTTGGAAAAAAAAGTTTTTCCTTTTTTCAAACATCTGTGTACATAACATTTTCAGGTTTATTGCTCCAAGTAGTATTGGACAAGTTTGATATATCTGGTAACTAATATTATATTTTTGATTTTTTTAAACAAATCTCAGTATCATATAGTATTGGCATTAGGATTTAAAAAAAAACCCTTTCCATAATACCCTGAGTTATCCTCCCATACTTTGTTAATAAAGAATTTTAATTTCATTTATTTTTTACCATTTATAACATTTGCTTTCAGCATTTCACTTAACTTTTCCTTCTGATTGCAAGTGTTGCATTTTATATCTCACACAGTAGCAATTTCTGGGTTTTCCAATTCTGTAGCAGAACACTGCAACTCCAAAACTGCAGTTGTTTATGTCACAACCCAAGGGTGTGATTTTGTTTTGTGTGTGCTTTGCCACCACTGAATTATTTTCCCGCCGTTTTGAAGCTTTCTTTGCAGGGTGCATTTCTTCTTTGCAGCACAGAAACGCACGGTGCAAAGAGTTCCTGCCATTTGTATTAAAATTCGAGCCCCATTATTGGCTAGTGTTAAAATATTCCCACGTGGCGGCTAGCGATTGGCTTGCTAGCCATATAAGAGGCTTGAGTGGCTTCCGTCCAAGTTGGAGAACTCTGAGGAGAACCCTGCAAGGGAGGACTCCACGAACATCAGGAGGAGGAGACTTCACGTCTCGTGAAGATCTCTAAGCGCTGCGGAGCCTATTGGACCCAGCGTGAATATCAAGAAGGTAACAGGGGTCTGATCAACCTCTCCTCGTCACCGAGCGCAATCCTCGACGTATCCCTCTTCCCTGAGCGCAAAAAGGACCCACGGAGCCTCGACAACTCCGTGTGAGTGAGTCAGATTTTGTCCGAGTCCCTAAACTGGGGATTTAAGCGGAGCTTTGCCTGGGAAACTGTTCAGCCTACACCACGACCATCTACGGTGTAAGTAAACAATCTTGAATCAACCATTACGCGTCTGTGCCTAATTCTAGCGTGTCGCCTGCTTTCTCCGACCCAGCGTGCCCGGGCTGCTGGCCACAGCCCGCAGCGCGAAAAAAGGGCCCGGATCGCTCCCGGCCCGCACAGTTTATATGTTTTTAATGAAACCTAAAGAAAATATTTCATGAAAGCATTTCATTTTGGTAATCTAGGCTAAGAGGGTGGGCCTCTATCTCCCTCTTGTGGATATATACCATAAACAGATTAATGTGTCTGATATAGCTTTTGCACTAAAGCGCCTGGTTTCTCTAGCTCAAAAAGTACTAGTGCCTGCTTTTTGGGTCCAGGGTTCAGACCCTAGTAATAATGAATCAACTGATGGCATCACACTGCATATTCATAAAGGTTCTTAATTTGGGACTTAGTTGATTCTGGCTAAGTTATTTGAAAGTGTTAAGGCAGTTACCTCAGTGCCCTTAAGGTTAAGCAATTCTAGACACTTTAATTAGAATGGGAAGAGAAACAGACCCTTTGGAAAGAAAACATTCCATTATGGCATTTTCAAACAGCTCTGTAGGACTGCTCACCTTCACCAGAGAATGAATCTTAAACCCAGATTCTTTGATGAGCTGGTAACGCTTTTCCAATGATTCATGCCGGTCATCCAAACTAAACAGTGATTCTCTTTTCCCATCTTTCCTCTCAAAAATGGGTGACACCCAGGATCTCATGATATTCTGAATTTCCTCAGTATTGTCCTTGGCTTTCTGGATCCTTCTCTCAAGGTCATGAACACTGTCAGTCACTTCAGAGATGTGATCCCAGAGGCCTTTCAATAAAGAAATTTTATTCAATATAGTCATAGCAATTCAGTAGGGCTCACACTATTCATATAGTCAGTTCTGTTATGGAATGTTTGTGACTTATTCCTTCACAAGAAGTTCCCACAACCATTGCCTGGGTCCCAACTCATTGTGAATATGACAGACCCACCATATCTACTGTCTAGAGTGTAAGGGGCATTTTCTGTCCTAGCTTTTTTCTAATTCCTTTCTATGCCAGCACTTCATAATAAAGGTATTGCCCACTCTGTTTTTTGTCAGCAGCACTGGCAAGCCTGCCATCCCTACTTACTGTGGTGTCCTTTCTGATCAGAATTTGTCCTTTTGCAAAAAAAAACAAGGTCAGGAGAAGTCACAAATCAATTAAATCAAGCAACTAAAAGAATGGAGTTGGCTAAGTAGGTCAGATGTACAGCAGAAACAGGGTCCGTCAGACTATTATTTTTGTATGGCTCTCAAGCCTCCCTTATGCTGCCCAGAATGCCTAAGCCCGCAGCACTTCACAGCTCTTCATTCGTCACACATGCAGAGTGGAACCTAGTCAGTTACACCATAGGGGGGAGCCTGCATGGCCCTGGCAGTGGGACTGGAGTAGCCTGACCCTCAGTTTCAGGAATGGAAGTTCAAGGTCCTCAGCCAGTATGGGGGGTCCTCCTTCACCCTAGACATCAGCAAATGCTGGGTAACTTGGAAGATAAGAGGCAGGAGACCTTGCATTTTTATTTTCGAAATGCTCTGTATGAAGAGACCTGGAATTTGTCAGCACTAACTGCTCTAAAACAACTCATGCTTGTTGGATATAAAAAAAGCTGCATTCTAATAGACTGTAAGTTATTAATCACATTTTTTATTTCATCCTTCTGGGGAAAAAAAATCTAAGGGTCTGCATAATCAGGCATCAATGCATGTGCTGTCCTCCTGTAGAGCCTGACTGGTTTTAGAGTTCAGTTCCTGTTCACATTCCATTCTGCTGTGAGAGTAACAGCACTGGAAACAGTACCCAATTGCCCTAGAACTGATGAGTCAGGAACTGTCCCAGCACAAGTAAGTGCCTTTCCTTCAGAGACCTCACAACTAAGCTGGACTGCAATGTAGCAGTCAACTCCAATCATCAACTCATGATAAATAGTCACCACTGGATATTTGCATTATTTACATTGCCCTTGGACGGACAGTCTTCTGAACCTGCAATCCCAAACTAAGAGGGCACAGGGAAGCAGATATGGGCCTAGAAAAGGAAAATTGCGGGGCGGGGGGAAGAGGGGAGGGGGGTATTGTCCTGCACATGCCCCATTCCTGGGTCGGGTGGCAACTCTGCCACTTTGCCAGGATCTGGGAATTTAACCATTTTGTAGGCCTTAGGATGGTGAGCAATAGAATATTCCATATCTGGGGTCGGGGGAAACACAGTAACTGGTTTAAGTTCATTTGGCCACTCATTACCTTCCACATTTAACAGTGTGTTAACTAAAGGAGAGCCTCACCTTCCATTTTCCAGTTTAGAGTCTCTTCTGCATCTTTCAGGTGTAAGTCAATATCATGAAGTTGTCTCTCTATTAGAGGGTATTCTACCTCAAGAACTGTCCTTAGGATCTTGTTGTACCTGTTCACCATCAGTTCCAAGTTAGCGACCAGCTTCCGGTATGATTCCTTGGAGGCGTAGAATTCTGCTGCTGTCTGTGGGATGCTCTCCATCTGGCTTCCTGTCAAGTAACTCACTTCCCTAAGCACTGAAACCAGCTAGAAAAACAACCCAAGATGATGGGCTTTTTTTTCCCCTTATTTTTGTTTCTCATTTCATTTGCAGGACATCTCTAATATGAGAAACTAGCAAATTGCCCATCAAGAATGACAGGGGCAGGGACAGAGCCCAGCCTCTGGCCCTGCGCCCCCACCCCCCCATCTTCATCC